TCGGAACCGCTTCTCCCGGTTTATTACCAGGCAAGGCTTAGGAAATCGATTTTTCCGAAGGTGGACGCGGCGTGACCGAGGATCATTCCGGGTTGCCGCAACAATGGTGCTAAGCCGCGAACGCTCGCCGGTTTACGACCAGCGATGGCCCGTCCTTCGGGGCCCGGTGAAAGTCCGCAAGAATTCGCCCTCGATCGTGCCTGCGAACTTCACATTGAGATACTCGTGACGTGTCACGAACTCGTTCGGCACCGGTAATGAACGCCTCGTGTCGGCGTCCCGGGACGAAAACGAACAACGCGCCCCGACCACTATCTTCTAGATGTCGGAGTCACGATTCTCATTCCAAGCATACCTCTCTCTCTTTCTATCTCTCTCTCTCTCTCTCTCTCTCTCTCCCCATCCGAGATTTCGTTCCGCGACCCGCGCAGTTCCTCCGCGAGGATCGACCACTCGACCCAAGCGCCCCGATACTCTTCTCACCGCGGCGTTCCTCGCGATGTGCCGCTGCACGAGGAACTCGAAACGGAGCGTTGATCTCTGACACCTCGATCATCGTCCACTATGCTCGTTAGTCATCGCGCGTTTTCCAGCCTTCGCCCGTTATCCGGCTGGCCGATTCGCCACGGGTGAAGCGGAGAAAAACACGCAGATAAGGGGGTATTGTTAATTTAAGCGAGATAAAGGAAGACCCGTGTGGCACGTTCGACGTCACCGTCGTCGAATCGGCCTGATAAAGCGTTGCGTCGCCACTGAAAATAAATCCTCCGATGGTTCCCGTCTCTCCGCTCGATATCGCCGCGTAGACGCAACAATCTCTCGCGCGTAATGGCGCGAATTTTCCTGGAAAACGAGAGCGAGAGAGATGTTGGGTTCCGAGAATGGTGGTCGAGGATCGCGAGATGCGGCGCTTCCGCGTATAGATCGTTTGGAAAAACGAGGCGGCCCGATCGGAGGTTGAAAGAAACCAGGAAGCGCGTACGCTTGCGAGCGGCGGGAATAAAAAGGCGCAGGGACTATCGAAGCTCGTCGAATCGATATCGAGGCACGCAAGCTCCGCGACGGGGGCATTACTCCCCGCGGTCGGGGTGTTTCTTCTTCTCCTCCAGGCTATCACCGACGCACCAATTTCGCGGGAGAAAAACTAATTGGACAAGATTCTCGAGGTGTGATTCGTTTCCTACCAGTTTCGCGAGCCGCTCCCACGTCGGAGTCGCGTCATCGGCGTATCGAGGCACGTACGCGTCGCGTCGCCGGCTTCGCTGCCAATGTTTCCGCATTCTGGAATCTCATTTCTGGCTATGGAATATTCGCGGCCTAGCCGGCGCGTCGATAAAGCAGTCGGACGCCTGGGGAATACGCGCTCAGGTCGGATCGGGACGCGGCTCGTTCGGTCCCGAAATATTCCACGTTGCGAAAGGTCGATTCTCGTTCGCCCTTTGACCCGCGTGTCAACGCTCGCCGAGGGAAATAATGTGGGAACCGCGCGATCGCGAGATCGGCCGCTGGGCGTGTAGAAAGGGGGCAGCACCGGTGACTGGCCCATGATCACTGCCACGAAATCAACCTTTGCCGTTCGTCACCGAATCGCCGTTAATTACGCGTGTAACCCGGTCAGCCATTGTTCTCCTCGCGTATTAATCCCGAAATCGAGGGTCGAAATGTACCGCGGTATCGCGGCCACGTTCGATAGCGACGACACGGTAGCAGTGATCGATCTCGAGAGCTTCCCCGGGGAAAGTCGCGGTGAAATTGCTGCGGAATTGCCGCGAAATTCTGGCGAATTTTCGAGGAAAATTGCGACAGCTGCTGCCGGATCGAAACGGGTTGGCGAACGGTCGCGAAGAGGATCCGGTTACCCGGCGTGTGGTCTGAAACGATCGGAAAGCGAGCCACGTTCAAAGGCCGCGATACCAATGGAAAGTAAATTTAGCAGAAAACTCGCTGGACGGCGCGAAGAATTTCGCCGAAGCTCCGTCTGCGCAGGTGGTCTCGGAGGTGTCATAAAATGAAACGCGCCAAGGAAATGCTCCATCTCCGGCCGGTGAAGAAGAAGCGGAAATGGAACGAATGGCCGATTGACTGCGAGAGGCCGAGAGTAACGCGATCCCTCTTCTTTTGAAGCGTTCTTTTGCCGCTCGCGGTCGCGACACCGCGTGTGCTTGCCCGTTAAACTCTGCGGGAAAAGCCGGGTAGACGGTGCGCGATTCGTGATGTAACGCGTGAATCAGAGTGTGAGATCGGCTAGGCAAAAAGCGATTTCGCAACGCGACTTACCGGCAACCGGCCTCCCTCGTCGAACAATCGCTTGGCTGGCCGATCGAACGGGACATCGGCGGTGCGTTTGCGCGACCAATTGCCCGCGAATCGGTCCAAACGAGCTTTCGTCCGCGCTTCTTGCGAGTCGTGGTCGATCGATTCGCGGAACAGACGCGGATGGAAAACGGGCCGATCGTTGTCTCCATCGGCTTCTTCTCTCGGGCTCCTTTCGATCGCGTCCTCTCGCGTCAGATCGTTTCTTTCGTCGGCGATCGGCTCGATGGAAATTTCGCTGGATAACCGGTATAAGCGGGTCGGTTTAGCGAGCAACGGGCGAAACTCGCGCGCAGACGTGGCCGAGGTCACTCTCGGATCTGCAACGTGATATTAACCCTTCAACGCGGTTCGACGTATTAAGTTGCGTCCTACTTTTCTAGGCCTAACTATCCGGAGAAGACAATCGGGTTTTTCGATGTACAAATCACCGGCCAGAGGCCGGATAATGGGTCGAAATGGTTGCGCAATTAAGGACACGACTGGCTCCTTCCACGCTGCTGCCTACCAGCCGGTATCCGCTCGCGCCAGCGTGCTCGCGCGCAGCCTTTTAACGATCGCTCTTTCCGCGCAAATTAAAATATCCTCCTATGTACCGAGCAAACACTCCGCTCCGGATCCCCCGTCGTTTATCGCTTTTCGAGCAAACCCGCGCGACTCGTCCGCGTTTCGAAAATAGAAAATGGCCGAGTCTTATCGATCGGTAGCGAATCGCTCGCTTCACCGAACTGCCCGGCCACCGTCGTACCCTCGTGCGCAACACGCGAGGACGACGGAACGACAATGGGACACGATGGACCGAAAAAGCCAAGGTGGTCTCGCGACGCTGCGAGAGCGTGTCGCGGTCGCCACGAAAACGATCGATCATTCCACGACGGTGACGCGGATCGACGCGACAAAGGGACGTGATTGCGCAAGATAAAAATAACAATTAACAATCTGGGTACAAGGTTCCACACTTTCGATACACGATGACGCGAGACGCGATTCGGATCTCTCAAGGACGAGCCGGTCTTAGCCTCCGACTCTCGCCTTTGCTCGAAGCGCGCCATTTTGGTAAGAAAATATGGCCGACGCGTTGCGACAAACGCAATTTCGCGACCGGGGGATCGGCCGGCAGAGTGACGTAATTTACGGTCTCGATCGGTGTAACCGCGACTGCCGACGAAACAGAGCTTCTTCTTACTCGAACCCGCGATACTCGCGATCTCTTATCCGCGAAATTGAAAATCGAGCGGAGCATAGGTCCGAGCGTAATTGGCAATAATCTATCGAACAGGTAGAATTTGAACTATCGCGACGCGGTTGAATGCCGTATCGAAGATTCGGTACATAAACACTGCCTAGATATCCTATCGTAAGTACCTGGCGATCGGTGCGATAAGATCGATCCGTGGATATTAAGTGGACGCGGTAACGGAACGGCTAGTGCTTCCTGCTCGTGTCCAACGGCACGCACCACCCGCTCGGACCTGGCTCGCTCCGCTCCGCTCCGAGCTGCGTAGAAGTCGCGCGACTTGACTCACTCGCTTCGCGCGGTTGACACACGCCTCGGAGATTAATCAGCACGGAACGTGTCCGTCGATAGCGCGCGTCACTCCGCGATTAATAGTTCTTAACCTTGGCATCGTGCAGCCGTTTTTCTCACCTCCATCTCCTGCCGCGAGTTATTCCAACGACCACGAGTGCGCTCGTCTCCGGATGACGCGACAGGGACACCGAGACTATCCCGCGTAAGTATGTTGCTCGCACTCTGACTCGACTGCTAATTTTCCCACTGACATTTCCCGAAAGAATAATTCTCCGTTGAACGCGACGGAAAATTACGCGCGTTTATATCGACTCGGGTTTCGCGGAATCACTCGATGTCGCTTACCGCGCAAAAGCGCCACGTCGATGAGCGACTGGAATGCAGACGATGCATCGAAAATGGAGACCGCGAGCGATCGCGACGCGAGACAAAGAACGGGAAAGTAATGGGAAAGAAAAAGATTCCCCGACTCTCGAGTTCTCACAGTTTCCCGAGCACCTACTATCCCGGTGCCCGATGCTAATTCCGAACCGCTGTATCCCGGCGGATCGGTCGTAAAACAGCCGTTAACCCACTTCCTCGGCCTGGTCCTCCGGTAGATCCGTGGTAAGTTCACGGGAAAGATATTTCGTAAGCGGCGCGGATCTAGGAGCAGCGATCTCTGGCCGGGGACCGAAAACGTGGCCGCGACACGTCGCCGTGGCCACCGCTTTATCCCTTCTCCGCGCGAACGCATAACGCTTGATGTCGGTGCTAACCACGGAAGCTGGCCTCGACGAGCAATGTCGTCCAGTCTTACGAGAGCCTTCTTACCAGCAAGAACGAGTCCACTCTCCCTGCCCCTTTCGCCCCTTGCTCCGTTCCAAGTCGCCTCGCTTTTTCTCCGAATCGCTCCCCCAGATTCCACTGACCCCCGTTTCTGTCCGCATTCTTCTCGGTTACTTTTCGGATAGCTAGCCGCGCGCCGGGCCAAAGTTCGCGTAGGTCCCGCTCGCGGCGCTAGTTAGTTCGCTCCGTCGCGTTACAGCGAGAATTCCCCCGGTGCAAGGAGTTATGTCAGCCGAGGAGAAGCCTGACGCTGGAAGCTTCCTGCCGGAAGCCCGATTCTCGTACCGAGTCGAGGTCAGTACTTGCCATAACGATTCGTCCACGAGCCGTAGGATAACCGTGGCATAACCATGGGATAGCGACCAAGACTCCGGTTCGACCGGAGACGCGGAGCAGAAGGAAATTCGGTGTGTCGAATTCGCGGATGTTGTACCCGGTGATCATGCGAGGCGAATGAACTTGGCCGCGCAGAATGCGCGTGCATTCTACCGGCGATCCGTGGATTCGAGCGACGCGCTAGAATTTGCCGGAGACAGTTAGGGAGTTAGACGAGTTGGAAATGGAGTCGGGATGACCGGCGAATAATGGCAGCTGACGCTCGGACGACGGTGGATTAAAATTGCCGGTGAAACGTGGACTGGACGGGGCTGAGAGGGCCCGTTCGCGTGGCGCAAAGACGCGGCCCGATGCAACGCGTATGTGTCCCAGCGATCGCGCCATATTTGTACCGATATCGGGGGATACCGAGCGGAGCGTGCGCGTTCGTTGCACGTAAACGCGGACCGGGTCGCCTCGTGGTCGACAAGTGTCTGTTGCTCGCCCGAGAACTCGCTGGAATGCGAAACTCCGGGGGTCGAATTAAAACGTCACCGACCTGCGCCGAGCTTAACGGAAACCTGTACGGATCGGCCCGACGGATAAACGCGCGTGTAAATATCTCCGTTATAAATTTCGACGATCGACCAACCGAGATCGAGATACTCCGAGTTCCATTCCCGTTAAACGAGCGGAACACGGCTGCCAGAGACAGGATACTCGTAGGCGCGTTTCGTCTACGAATTGCATAATGCGCTTGCCAACGCTCTGCCAGTGAATGGAATTTCCGGATGGCACGTGGTGCATCGTATCGCGATATCGAAGGAGCCGCGCGAGCAGCACCGGCCGGTTGCACGTGTATCGGCGATTAGCTTCATCGAACGGCAACCGGCCGGGAATGTTAATCAGAAGTTAGCGGCGAGCGGTTTATTAGCGGCGAGCAATAGCCTGCCGCGAGGAAACTCGGCACGCGAGCTCGATCCGCCCGTGAAACCTCCACTTTCCTCTCGTTCGTCCCCCGTCTGTTCCCTCGTTTCCGGTTCCCGTGTCCCGCTAATCAGCCACCCCCGTTTTCCCGCGAACCGAGTGCACCGCGACCTCGCGGTTCCAGCGAAAAGCTCCGAGATCTCTCTCTCTCTCTCTCTCCTCGTCGATATTTCCCGCTGAATCCGAGCGACCAACCGTGACACGCCCGACCGCTCGAGCGCAGATAACGCGAGAGCGCGCGGTTTATCAGTGGGTGCGCGCGTTAGAATGTAGAAATCCTTGGATTCGAGCGATCCAGTCCAACGATCCAGCCTAAGAGGAAACCGCGGATCTGCTCGGGACACGTCCGTGCACGCGATTCCCTTATGGAACACCGGCTCGCTGCGCTCCGACCGCTGCCAACCATCCACGTCGCGCGTGAAAGTAACGCGATTGCGTAAACCGCTAAAATATCCAGCACTCTTAGCCTCCTTTGCCGCCGGGCCACGAGTACTCCGCGTCGTCCTTGGCTTTCGAGGTCCCGTCGAGCTTCCATCGGCAGAGCCGAAACGCGTCGCGCTCGTGACACCGCGAGCTCGATCCACGCGAGTCCGCGTTATCTTCGAAAGCCGGATCATCGGATGTTGACACCCGGTGTTCCGTGGGGTTGCTCGAATGGGGAGCGACGCGGCTTCCGGGATCCTGGTATCGGTCGACCTTCGCGACGGGAACGGAGCAGCGAGTCAAAAGTCTAAACGCGGTCTCGAACGCGGATCGTAACAGCGCGTTGGTACAGATACGGCTGGCTGCATGGAAATATCTCAATTGCGTAGATTAAAATTGCCGACACGGCGTGCACGGGTCTGGATCGGTGATAAACGGCACTGGATGTTTGGAAAAATAGCCGAGGTCGGTTTCACGCTGGTCAAACGTTCTCGAATCTTATCGCGACTGGTGGCTGCATTTTGTTAAACATTCCTCCGCTTCTCCCACCAGCGCTGCCGCGAGGCTGGAATTTCGCATATTCCAACTGCTCCAACGGATCAACGTTCCCGTTCGCGAGATCGCGGGGGCAACGACGCGTGTGGATCGAAAGAGCGACGCGTTGCGGCATCGATCTCCTCGTCGAGTGCACGAGAGCGTGAACCGTTCGGCTTCGATAATACGAACTTTTACGCACTTTATACTTTGCCGCGATCCGGCCCGAAAGCTTTTCGTCCTCGGACCCTCGACGCGTCTTCTAATCGCGACGGAGAGGCCCGACGAGACGATTAGGTTGCGCAAGCCGCGAGCGTATGTGCGTGAAGGATCGCGCGACGAGAACGGAAGATTCGCGGTTTCGCGGCTGTTATTAACGCGAACCGGAGACTGCCGATCGTGTCCTTCGACGGACGTTTTACTAGCACGGGTACGACGACTGCCTTCCGTCCGAGTAAAACGTCCGGCGAAGGATCAGAGATCCGCGGGAACGCGTTGGACGTGACTCGAAAGCGGAAACTCGGAGCGCGGGGGTCCAAAAGTTGGAGCGGAGAACGGGATTGTTTTAAACGATTCACGAGCACCGCGAAGAACGCCGACGATAACCAACACTGCGACGCGTGTGATTTTAGAGACGGTAAATGGTAGGATGGACAACTGCGGAGGCGGTCAACGCCTGCCCCCGGACGGGGACGAGTTTCCAGCAGCCTACCAAGAGTTCGGTGGCAACAGCCAGCAGTACCGTTTCGTGACGACGAGCACCGCGACGGCGAGGACGTCGACGATGATATCGAACGGTCGGCTCGTTTGCAACGAGAACGATTCGTTCATGGGTAACGAGGGCTTCAAGTTGCTCGAGGGCAACGTGGTCGCGGCCACTGGCATCATCCTGCCGGACAACGGCAGGATCACCGGGCTGGCCAACGTGGAGAACGTCTGCCAGGAGGTGAGCAAGATCGAACTACCGAGCATCGAGATAAACGGCAAGATGAGCGTCGAGAACGTTTGTCAAGATATGAGCAACGCGCTGGCCCGCGAGGCCCGCGTGCCGGACGACCCAAAGCCGTACATCTCGGACGACTTTGTTAAAAAGGCTTCGTCCGTGACCAACTACTCCAGCTACGGGAATCAAGGTGACGGGAACGTTCTGGTATCGGAGAAGAAGATCGAGATCACGGGATACTATCACAAAGACGCGCCGGTGATCGAGGAGGCCCAGGACCATGGCGAGAAGGACGCCTCGGACACGCCTCCACCGCTCCCACTCACGGGTAAACCTTCCTTCCGTGTCTCGTTAGCGTCCCCTTCGCTTCCGCCGATATTATAAAACGTTTCGTTCCCGTTTTAGGCCCACCCAAGTTGGAGATCATCGCCACCCCGACGTACGCGAGGAACTTGCCGATCTTGGAGCCGACGCAGCGCAAGTTCTCGTTGAACGGAGAGCTATGGAGGCAGGACGACAAGTCCGAGAGATCCGTCAGGGATAAAATAGCCATGTTCTCCTCGCAGAGCAGTTTGGACGGCCCGCTCTTTCCCAACTCCATGGTGGTCGCGGCTGCCACCAACAACGGCCGCAGACTGTCCAAGTACAAGTCCACGGAGGACGTGTGCAGCGACGAGAAGAGCTGCGGACAGAAGGAGAGGACCTCCTTCTTCGCCGACAGAACCCAGAGTTCTTTCGACTTGACGGACTCGGGGAGAAACGTTAGTCAGGATCCCGGGAAGAAGTACAATAGGCAACGATCACCTAGTGTAACGCAGAGTCCGTCCTTCACCTCGCCCAGCATCTACGCTTCCAAGGTGTTCCCGATCGTGCCACAGAAACCGATCGCGTCCACCACGTCGTCGCTGATAAACTCCTTCGAAACGTCCTCCGTACCTAAATCCTCGGTCAAGAGTTACTCCTTGACAGCGTCGAGTCAAAATTCACCGAGCGTCGCGATAAAGCCTATCGTGTCGTCGATACTGTCTCGCGCAACGAGCTTCTGCGGTTCCACGCCCTACTGTCAGGATCGAACCATCGCGACCAGCGAACTATCGATACCCTCGCAAATCACCAGGACCAACTCGTTAGCGTCCACGTTCAAGAGGCCCAACGAGGACATCAGAAGGAACAGCTTGAATCAACTGATCGAACAGAGGAAGAGATCGATATCGAAGCTCAGAGGATTGGTCATTCCCGAGAAGGAAACCATACCTATCGACACGCCCATCGTCGATCTACCGGAAATCAAGTCGAGGGATTCGATATTGCTGCACCAGGTAACCTTTCTCTCGTTACTCGTCATTTTCTCGCCGCGTCGATCTCGCGGATAAACGTTATCGATAAACGGATCGAGACTGTGGTAAAAACTAAAAGCTAAATACTAAAATAAACTCTACATCCTAGCCATCTGGGGACGATCCCTCTCTCTGCGTTTTGTCTTTTGTCTTCCGTTTTCTAGAAAAGACGCCTTGTGACCCGCGTGGCCCCAAACAGACAGGCCAGTTCTAACCGTTTGCCCGTTTAATGAATATCTATACAATTTCTCCACCGTTTCCACTGACTATTGTTTCTCTGCGTTGTAACCCCTTAACGGAAACGTTTCTTCCACTCTGCGCAGATAACCAAGGCGAACATTCAGGACAAATGGGGCTCGCAGAGTTCCCTGGCGAGCAACGCGAGCACAGCCAGCGTACCTCTGAAAGCCACCACTTCCTTCAAGATGTCAACGCCACAGATCAACGCCAAGTACTCGCCGGCTTTCAAGAGAAAGAGTCTCGCGGTGTACGGCACGTCGTCGACCAATTCGCCCATAAACAGCGGAATAAAGAGTCCCTCGGTCACGTCGACCACCTCCTCTACGCCGACCTTCTCCGAACCCCCGAAAAGTTTGGAGAGTATCTGCAGTCCGACGAGAAGCGACTACAGCTTCGAGTACGCGTCCACGGCTAGCTGCTCACCGGAGGGACTGCGCAGCAGACCGAAAACGATGCAGAGAAAGACCAGGATGGACTACGACGATTCGGACAACGATTCCGCGGTGAGCAGCTCGCAGAGCAGCATCTCCCGAGGCTTCAGCCCACCCATGTCGCCGGTCCCCTCGGAACGATCCACGGTTTCGTCGGAGAGATCCTACGTGTCGACCGAGGCCAACTATCAACGGCGATCTCTCATCATGGACAGCCCGACTAGAACCTACTCCAGGGAATCGAGCATGGAGTACGGTACCAGGTCGAACGTAATGAGCGACAGAGCGTTCATCTCCGAGAGATCTTCATCGAGCAGTAGCAGCTCGGGTCTCAGATCTCCGACGGCAGAACCGAGTGCCAGGAGTTCGCAGATACCTCAGAGGCAGCTGAAACGATCCAACAGCACCGATACCAATTGCAGCACCTCCTCCACCCTCACTTCCGGTTCTCAGGCAAGCGCAGAGTCTCTGTCCAGGAGGGTATTGAAACCGCAGAGCGTGGAGGCCATCAATCGCAAGAATATCCTGGCCAGCGCCAGATGTCGCAGCGGCAGGGACCTGAATGGATCGCCGTTGATCCAGAGGAAATTTGCCGACGACGACAGCCGATCGACGATCGCTGAGAACGGCGAGGACCCGTACCAGAAGAATCGCGTCAAGGACTCCGTGTCGAACGCCCAGGACGTGAAGATCGCTTACATCGAGGTGACAGACTCGTTCGGGGAAGACGACTCCTTCCATAAGGAGCCCGAAGAGTCCAAGTTACCCGCGAAGAGAAGCGTAACGTCCTCGACCGTCAGGCCGTCGAAATTCGAGGCGATGGAACCATCCAACGACTTGAAAATGTGGGTTCGCACCGAGGCGAAAGCTCTGGTCAAGTCGGTCGAAGAGAAGACGGCCAACAAGATGGAGAAGAAATCGGCTGACGTCGATGCTGCTTCCCTGGAGAGCAATCTGAAGAATAACAAGTCTGGTCTAATGGAGGAGCAACAAATCGGTTGCTCGATCGAGCTGTCATCGAGCAATAGGCGAAAGCAATCGAACGAAAACGAGTCTGAACTGTTGCGGATCTCGAAGCAACGCTCTGCTCCAGCCATACCTCCGAAAAAGTATGCCGAGGATCAGAACGATCTTCTGACGATCCTCACGACCAAGAGCAGATCTAGATCAGCGATACACGTGGATGCCGGAAGCTTCGGTCGGTCCAAGAGTCAGATGAGCCTGGAAGATATCCTGAGCGCCAAGGCTGACTCGAAGATATCGCGAATTCAGAACAACGAAACGAGAACGGAGAAGAACAGTGGTCTGTCTGGCATGCAGAGCAGACCTCTGTGGGAGACCAGGGACAATCGATACGCGAGGAGGAGCTCGACGACGTTGAACGAGTACTGGAACGAGGATAAGCCGTTCTCCAAGATGGCGAGCTTGGGAAAGTCGAGGCTAGCCGATAGCAGCGGGGACGAAATGACGGAGACTGACAAGTCGAAATCGTTGCTGTCCAAGATTCCGACCACGAGGAATCTTGGTCGAAGGAGCTCCAGTGTGACGGACATGAAAAAGGCCCTGGAAGTGAACTGTTCCACCGGTTCACATCAGTCGGTCGGAATTGCTCATAACCGGTTTCCCAGTCTAGACAGCAGCGTGGATGAAAATGTGTCCCCAGTTGGAACGGACGTGGACACGGACAGATGTTGCAGCGAGCAATTTGGGAGTATCAGTTCATTGGCCAGTAGTACCAGTTTGATCTCGCAACAGGAACTGGCGCAATTGGTGGAAGAGGCGAGTCTAGAAGAGACTCGAGGTGCTCACGACGTGATCGTCGTGCTGCTTCACAAGGAGAATCCTTCTGGTAGCGTTGGGATCACTCTAGCCGGCGGAGCGGACTGCGAGATCAAGGAAATCAGCATCCATCGAGTATTAGCCCATTCTATTGCCGACAAGGATGGTCGTGTACAAAGAGGAGACAGAATTCTGAGCATAAACGGCAGGAGCACGCAAGGTCTGACACACAGGGAAAGCATAGCGGTGCTGAAGCAACCAAGATCGGAGGTTGTTTTGGTTGTCTCTCGATCGAGGACGGAGGAGGGTTGTAAATTGAAGTCACGGACAGCAAGCGTCGAAACTATTATCGAAGGTAATTCGGGCTGAGATGATAGCTTCGTCGAGGTACAAGTGCGATCAGGGGAGTGTGTTTATTCGTAGTAACCTGTATGGCTTTTCCTGTTCTTTCTAAGGATTCGAGACGAACGACGTTGCCGAGGACACTGCGTGGGGTCCACCGTCCGTCGTAGCAGTTTACAAGGATGGAACTGGTTTGGGATTCAGCCTCGAAGGAGGCAGAGATAGTCCCCTTGGAGACAGACCGTTGCTGATCAAAAAGATATTTACCGGTATGTTTCGTATTGTAGAATAATTTTCTTTTGCGCGTGCAAGCTTCCGATCTCATCTATACGTGTATAATAATGGTGTTTCGATGTAGGAGGTGCTGCTGAGAAAACAGGTGCCTTAAAGGCAGGGGACCAATTATTAGAAGTGAACGGATACGATGTGACACGCATGTCAAGAATCGAAGCGTGGTCCCTCATGAAGAAACTACACGATGGCGAAGTAAACCTCCTAGTCAGGCACCCTGCCATCAAATCATCGTGAATGATAGTCAGTTAAACTAAACGTGTCCAACGAACCTGACGACGATATAAATGCAATATTATTATCATACAACGAACTTCGAATGTGAGAAGTGCAATGGCTCCATAGCATACAATTTTCGTATTGAATTCGAACGATGCAATGCGTGTCGCTTCGACGATCTCTTGATAATTATATTTCGTCTTCGAAATTACATTCTATCGCGGGTACTTAGTTTATCTTTTCTTACTTTTAAAAGATAACGAATATTTCGTTGAAATGCTACTTAGGATTCACATATTGTGCTTATATGTATATCGAGACAATATTGTTAAATAATTATTTGAAAATCTCGGTCTACAGAGAGAGATTTTTTCTTTTCTTTTCTTTTCTTTTCTTTTCTTTTTTTCTTATTCTAGTACCATCAAATACAATGTGTGACATTTATTTGCATACATTTCATTACTCTAAAGGAAGGCGTTCCTTTCTAACCATCTACTATTAATCTGTATTGTAAGCTCGAACTAGGAACAACGTGCATATAAACACGCACTCCTCTTACGATTTTCTTTAATGCAATGTTATGAAATAAACGAAGAACAAGTATTTGTATATAAAAACTGCGTGCAAAAATTCGAAATGCAACTGTTCTAGGAATATAACATATATAATATAAAGAAAGAAATGTTAATATAATGCATCATTAAAGTATTTAAATGTAGACTGACATTTGTTTCTAGGTTCGCGTTTATTAAAAATCATGCTGTGATATGTATGTGTGTTGATATAAAAATAATAAGCATTAATAAAAGCGGCTTGTTCTCCATGAATTCCCTAATAAATGTTAATACTGCAAAAGCTGAAGAACAAATATATATCAAGTATTTCATTCATTTTTTGCCATCGTATTTCATGAAGAAAAAATATGACTATCTAATCTTATTTTAACAGTATAATCAAAATTACATAATTGTTTTTCAAACTTTGTTATTAACAGTTTGCTGTTAATCGAATTCGAAGAAATTTTCAGTATACAAATTTAAAAATGCAATTTACTTTTAAGTTTAATTTTATGTATATAATGAAAGAGTTAAAACAAAATTAATACCAATAATATTTCTTTGGCACACGATCCTCTTCGATACCCATTGTGTCCATAATATCCATTTCAAACGTTTTCATCTCTGCCTATAGATCAACAAAAATGAATAACATTAATTGTCTATTATGTTAATGACATAATTTCGTTTAGCATCGAATTGTACATACTACAAATGTTAGTTCCTTTACATTGTCTACGCTGGTATCTTTAGGTTGTTCATTATATACTTCTGGAGCTTTATAATCTACTGTTTCTTGATTTGATAAAGGAACAGGGATAATTCTGCCTGTTCTACAAGATACTCTTACATGTTCACCCTGTTCTGTATACCTCCATTCTATAGGAGTCCCCTTCCTGAAATAAACTTAAATACAATAAATATGCCTACAAGTTATAACTACTGGAAGAAAAATAAAACTTATTATACTAACAAATCGAAGGGATCTACCAATAGAACTTGGCTCGTAACTAATAACGGTTGTTCTACACGTATACAAATTCCAGGAAAATCTTTTGTCTTGTTACGTATTATTGCCTTTGTATTTAATCCCTGCACTATAACCCAATTTCTCTCCTGTATAATATCATACACTATTCCCTGTTTTCCCTTATCAGGCCCAAATAATATCTCTACCTAGAAAATGTTTTAATGTTATTTCTTTTTATGTAACATACAAAGACAACATACCCGATCACCACGAAAGAAACTCCAATATTTTATAGGTTCTATTGGAATATTTCGATGGACTTTCTGCACCCAATTTTCAATTTGAAAAGTACTAGTCCATGGTCGATGAATGGAAAAATACAAATTTTTCCTCCCTTCGATTCTTCTATCTTTACGAAACTGTGGCTTGTCAGGTGGAGGTCTCCAATACACCTGTAAATGAAATATTATTTTTTAATACAAGCAAAATATACATAAAAGGTGATAAATACATTAAGGACACGAATGAAACAAATTCACGTACACGTTCCGTAATACGGTTTATATAACGTTCTGGTAAGTTCGCATATTGATTAGACCATTTGCTCATTTTAGCAAATAACGTAGCTGTAAATTTCATTGCTTCTAATTATCAATTATGTTAAAACTGAAAAATATCTATATTCCAAAATCTTTCAAAGCATAATTAAAGTCTAGTCGTTTATAACGTGCATTAACTTTGAAAACTTATATTACATAAAGTTGAACCAATATCTAGTAACCACAAGATAGCAAAATGTGAAGACATTTTGTGTTATATCGTATGGGTGTATTCACAAATAGCCTATCTTAATCATTTTGTTCTATGGAAATTGATTCATAATATCTCAGCATATTACAAATCAATTTTAAATTTGAAACGTACGCAAATCAATATCTTTTATACAATTGCCATTATTTTTTTATATTTAATATCGAAACATTTGAGCCATTGTCATGTCTAGGGTAACTAAAAAATTATATCAAATTATACGCGAATAAAAAATAAGAAAAATAAAATGACCAAGTTTCAGAGATGTTTTTGATATATTTCTTTTATACATTACATACAGTCGGTGTAGATAATTTTATTAAATATAGCATAAAGTAAATACAATTTATAAATTTAACTTTATCAAAATTTACCATAGTTTTGAAAAATTTTTTATTAGATTTACCTATTAATAAAATATTTACAACGCGATAGAATATTGCTAAATAAAGGTATTTATTTATTAAACCCCAATTAGTAGTATTACTGGTATAATTTAAAATAATAATTTAGATATACATAAAGGCGATACATTTTTTGTATCAAAGGAGAACCATCAATCCAAAAAATGTTATTTCGAAGGAAAAAATGTGTAATTGACACACGAGTGCGTCAACTTGTAACATATTACATGCATACGACTCAAGCAAAGACCAAACCGACGTATGATTGCACAAAATTCAAATATTCATACCTAACAAATGCAAGTCTTAATGTACATAGGTTACTAAGTAGCAGGCCAGAAAGTACATTTCGCATGCCACCATTAATGCAAATATATGTTCCATCCAAATATCTCAGTCTTCTATATTTCATAAAATCAGCTTACCTTCTGCATGCAGTTGTTGATAAAGACATCAGCTTACTCAATTTTAGAACAGGTGTTAACCAGGTTTGTTTATATATATATCAATAATCTTCACATCTATAATCGTACATGTAAACATTAAATTATATATTAAACATAAGTATCATTGAAAACATTTTTTAGGCACTTAAAGTAATATCTAATGCTTTATGTACTCAAAACTATGAAGTTTTAGATGGTATGGTAACAGAAAGAACTCTAACAATATTAAAACATAGAGTTGATCGCCTTACGCCTGATCAGCGAAACTTTCTAGACTTAACTAATAAGCCTTATAACTTGAGTCCAATGTTTATAGCATTAAATAGAATTAAAGGTACTCTTGTGTAATATTATCTTTTATTTTCATTTCTTTTCCTACATGCTGTAATTTTTATTTAGGCAAAGATGAAACAATTATTAAAATTGGAATAAGAGGAATCATCACCATGGAACAAAATTTCTTCACGCAAATAACCTGGGATCCACAGTTTATATATGTATTTCAAAGGAAGTATATAAATGGTATAGCTGGGGCATGGATAGTAAGGTTCATAAATTACTATGTATAATTTTAAAGTATGTTTAAAAGATATTAGTTTCATGGTAAATAAAAAAATATGATCTTATGCAACAATTTTCATAAAAATATCATTTATTTTCAAGTGAAATATGTGTTAATATTTAAAAAATACAAACTCTTGAAAAATATATTTATGAAATCATACTGATTTACATGTTTAGTACTATAAATTCAATAACAAGAATATAAACAAATATTGCTTTTTAAGTGTTTATAATTTTCAATAAAGGAGGTATATAATTTTTTATATCTAATTCTGCTGCACCAATATAAATTCCATTTTTTAACACAGAAATCACCAATGGTCCCTATAACATAAAATCACATGACCCTCAATGGTGTACATTATTCAATTTTTTCACATTACACAAATATCTTTGTATTATCTATGTACCTCATTAATTTGGGGATTGTGTATCCAACATTCCTTTCTATGTTGATCTTGAAATAAATTATTTCGTTTTGGCGGAATGGAATTGAAAAAGTTGATTTCTACGTTTGGCAAATCCAGTACTTTGATTTTTATTAAATTTAAATATGGTTCTATAAATAGCGATATTGTAACTCTACTACACATATTTGCTTGTTTAAACATTACGTTTATTACCTCCGTTGTACACGATATGAGTTTGTTTAAATAATCAATGATACCAGGATGATTTTCTATAACATTTAGAAAATTATGTTGAAATAATAATTAAAATATTACTAATTACGAATACATGATGATTACAAATAAAATTACTTCTGTAAATAGCATCAGTGAGACGGAACGGTTTTGTAACAGACGCAGCAAACATTGGAATTTGATTACGTTCTTTGCCTTTAAAACAACTATCAATGGCTGCAAATAATAATTGTAATATATAAACCTTGTAAACGGGAAATATTGTGTGCGTACGCGCGCGCGCGCGCGTGTGTGTGTGTGTGTGTGTGTGTGTGCTGTGTGTCGAATGTATGATATTAACAACTTACATTTCCCTACTTCTTCAAATAATTTTATGACTGTTATGTCTTTAGTAATATATTTGCTAAGGTGTGTCATGTACAACCCATATTTGCTGTTTATCTTCTCATAACTGGGTCGATAACTAGAGGTAGAATATGCCTGAATTAAATTTCTAAGATTCTTCTTACTTTTATATTCATTTACTGTTGGCACTTCATGGTATATTTCGGGATTAAATTCTCTAAAGAAATAAGCATATATATATATAATATATTATAAATGTAGAGATAAATAGAAACAAAGAAAGCAATAAAAAATGCCGAAGAACTTGCTTTGAAGGTAAAGTTTGACACATGTCTAAAATAATTATTAATAATTCAGGATCATTCTCAAGAAATGCGGATAATAGTTCACTTTCACATATTGCATCTTTTCTTAAATACGTTTCTGGGGCATCTGTTGCAAGCATGTAACTTTCTTGCATTTTGAAACCATGACCAGCAAAATAGAATAAACCTAAACAAAGAAAAATACATTATGTAAAAATCTAGTTTTTATTTCACACTTTTTATACCTTACCATATACACCTTCTGCTAAAGCTTTGCTGAATATTTTTATTGCATTTTTCATTTGTGATATTGTCAAATCGATAAGACAAATTACTTCGAATCCTATTTCTTTAAGTAGATTACCAATATATGCAGCATCATTTTTAGGCATTAGGAGACATTCATGGTGTTCATAATCTCCATTTGCTATAATCAAAGCTATTTTTGCAACTGCTTTCAACTTTGGAAGATCCATCTATAGAATAGTTTAATTAATGGACAATGATACAACGATAAAGTATTAATACACAATAATTATGTATTTTTACCATTACACGTGTCCTTTGAGTATAGATTTCGCTAATATCATTATAAATATAACAATAATATTTTCCTTCATTTCTTAAAGTAAATTGTTTTATCTGCAATTATAAACACTTTGATGAAAAGAACATTATTAACTACTCTGATAGAAAGGAAGATAATAGTTTCCGTACGTGCAAAATATTAGATGTTTCTCCTTCTAGTTTAGTATTATCATGGAACCATTGATAACGTGGTGCTGGATAACTATTAGCTTTGCAACAAATTGTAAAATTTTCACCTTCCTTGATTTCCAAAATTGCTTGTGGTTGTTCTTCTATTATAACAGGCATAGGAAAAATTTGTACATTTACAGCTTTTGAAATCAAAGTTGATATGACTGTTCCATCATGTTTCATTTGAGATACTTTACATTTATATTTTCCTGCTTGAGAAGCACTTTAATAAAAATAAAATGAGTTTTGCTATATAACGATTAGAATAAGATAACGGTTAGAAGTATATACCTATTTATAATAAGATCAAGCTTATCAGAGGTATGATGTTGCAATTGTTTATCATCATGATACCATATGTAATTTGGCAGTGGCATTCCAATAGCTTTGCAGCACAGATGAAGACGACGTCCAATTGGTACTTGTAAAATACTAGATTCGAACTCATCCCCTGGATGTATAACAATATTCAAAGGTTCTAAAATCATAAATACTTAAGAAGAATTAAATGTATATTATACCGTGCATTAAATCACAATAAATATTACCATACCTGGATCAGATATAATAGAGAGAATATTATAAAGTTTGCAATCACTCAACAATGCACATAAAATTTCTACAGTACACATTTTAATACTTAATTCGGAAAGTAACTTTTGTCCAGGAGAATCGTTTGGATGTTTGATCTGTTCCAAAGATTGCATCCACAAAGAGCTATATATATATATATACATATATATACATATAGTTATAAAATAGAATTAAAACTGAATAATTGTAACTAATAGTTATATTTTATTCTTCTATAACTATAACTAATAATTATATCTTAAATAAAATAAACTTAAATAAGCAGTTTCTTACCTTGGATATTGAAGTTCTTCAGCTACATGATTTGCTAACGTTACCCAAGCTGCATTTTTATTCAGTGCATTAACTAATTCGTTATATACACTTACTGGTAAACATTCAATATATGTGTTTTTATTAAAACGAGTCATTTCTATGAAATTTACATTTCAAACTTTTATTATTACAAATATCGCAGTGCAGAAAAATAACATTTTTATTTTTCAATGCTTAATACGTGTTAATAATAATATTTAAATACATATATTTCTTATATTTATAACAAATTTAACATGTATGGAACAACTGTAAAATAATTATACTCTGTAGTGGTATGCTTATATATGTAGAACATTGACGATACATTCGATTCGGTTCATTCTCGATCGATGTAGCAGAAACGTAAGCTGGTATAAAAATGATCGATCAATATTTTCGTATTAATACATATGAGAAAATTATATTATAACTGGAAAAGAACATTTTTCTTGCTTAAACTCGTTGTAAAAAAGGTATATTAGGTATAATTAAGGTTAGAAGGAAATTATTAGGAAATAATTTTGTCGATCAATTGGATCAACATTTTTTACCATTTAACGCAATATAAATAAAGATAAAGAAATCTAAAAGCTAAATAAACGTATTTATCATATTAATGTATCGGAGGAAACATTACAAAAGTTGTAAACGATATATTTACAAATGAGTTAAAAGTAAACAATCTTTCGTGGGTTTACATTTGCAAGCATACAGTAATATAATGGGAATGTTAATCTGTTTTATCCACAGCGCAGTACATTGTAATATCAAACGAAAGAGCGAGCTTTTTGGAACACCCCGGAAAAGTGTCGTCAGTTTTTTATTGCGGGTGCGATAGAATGGTGGGGGATCGCTGTAACCAATAAGCCTGCAAAAAGCGGCTCCTGCGCGATGCGCATGGCGCGCTGCGCCGCATAATCTTGCGTATCAGTGATCGGCAGTGCCATCCAGAAGGCAGTAGGTTACGGGTTCTAACGTGGTGAAATTTAGGGAGCCCTTATTGGTGCGATCGGTGAAAAAGGAAACGTGTGAGGGGGTAGAGGGCACAAGATAGTAAGTGCACGATACTCGCGAGTGTCGGGAGATCTAGTGTCGAGCCATCATGGCGAATCCACGAAAGTTCAGTGACAAGATCGCGCTACACAAACAGAAGGAAGCGCAGGAAAGAGCGGCGTTCGAGGCAATCATGCGAGAAGTTTCGGATGTCACAAGCAGAGTAAGGAAATCCCAGTAGGTCCTTGCCATTGAGGGACATATCTTGATATTTTCAATATATCTTCTTCGGCTCAGATGTTAGAACGTAAACAACGAGTGTTCTCTCTCCTCGTTGCACCGTGTGTCGACTGTGTGTGTATGTGCCTTTGTGAATGTGCTCGGCTTGCTACACGGTCGTGCGTGTATGAGTGTGTGACTAGCCTACTATCAGTATTCGTGTTAACGCGCACAACTACGCGTACTCGTCCGCTGGCCCTCTGTTTCTCTTTCCTATTCGTTATCATCGTAGTGTGTGGACGGATGTGTATGTGTCTCTTCGTTGGCCGCGTGTAAGAGTGTATGAATACGCGTATATGCGGAACGGGTATATGCTCCGGTATACTATGCGAAACGTACTGTGCGCTTGTTTGCCACCATCCGTCCTGTAAGTTCTTAATAAATGCATACGTGTGCGATCCACGATCGCATCCATCCTGCTGACTTGTTCCAACCGACTGATCGTATTTTCAAGAAAATCACAATTCCTTCAACGTTCTCATCATCGGAATATAATCAATCTTAATCGGACGCCCGCCATCAGCCAAACTCTCTATTTTCTTCGCTGGTTCTTCGCTTAAACCAACGACGAAGTGTCTACAGTAAACATTGCGATCACCGTATTTGTGTTTCTATTTACGCGACATACTTTTATTCACGATCGATGCTCACCAAATCAACTGTTCTTCCTTTTTTTTTTCCATAATTCATCGTTCGTTCAAACGCGCTGTTCAATTTTCCTTTCATTCTATATCGACTGTCGAACCGTTCTCACCAAACCAACGTCCATCTCATCGAGTCAACCTTATTCACCGATTTCCAATATCTTCGTCAATTCTCGGAACATTTTAAGACCGTGTCTTTGAAAAATCACGTGTCGTACCGAAATCAGAGTCTCTACAAAGGCAACTAACTTTGTCCCCTCGTAGGAGAAGCAAACAGATAGTCGTGTTTTGATTCGATCCAAAACAATTCCCGATCGATGCGTCACAAAATCCAATTATCGATAATTACACACGATTATTTTTCTCGAGGCAAGTTTCATTTCCAAAATATCTCTAATAATCGATCAACGGCCTAATTTTTTACACGTTGAAAACACCAATGAAAATCGTTCTCGTTAAGTATGACACTTCCGGTTCCGGACACCGAAACAACCTATCGTCTCGCTTCTGCGCGAAATTGCTTTCCTTAACACATCCACGGGTTTGCACGATAAACCGAACCGTACCTTCTAGATTGACAGTATCGCTCGGATCGTTAACGGGTTGCACGAGTGTTCCGTGTTTACGAAAAGTCAGCACGATAAGTTCGAAATTCCATGGTCGCGGAATTATAGCAGTACTCTCCATCTCTCGAGTGCGATTTTTCGTTAGGTCCGAAGGGTTAACCGTTCACCGTTGATCGCGAATCTCGGGAACACCGTTACACGAGCACATATTCATTCATTTTTGCGAAAGCCACGTGGATACGACAAATCGCGCGTCAGCTCGTGCGACAATTTTCGGACGTGAGGCGTAGAAAAGCGGCAAGGTTCACGCGACACCGATCGCATTTTTTCCATGACCGCGCGTGGCGCTCTCTGTCGTGGCTTTACGCGAGACTGCGGTTCGCGGGAACCGTGCGAAATTGGCGCGTTTTTCGGTAGACGGAACCCGATAACCGCCATTACATAACGCCCTAGCATCGTACTAAATGCGGAAGCTGCGTTATACGTTGAAGTTCACCATTCGATTAGTCGATATCGCGACTTTATTTACGGTACAGTGACTTAATCTGTCGGCCGTTCGAGCGTGCTGCCGCGTTTTCAGGTGTCCGCTGCATACTTCGCTCTGCATTTCTCTTTATTTTCCTTTCACGCTCCGCTCCGGCCAATTATCTCACGTTGGCGTTGGAATGTCAGGGTAATTCGAGATACGCTTCCTCGACCAACGGATGTTTTCGTTTCTCGAAGTGCATTTCCACGACACACGGTGAAAAAGTTACAAACTTCGCGTGCACATGTACATATCGACCATGTGAAATTCTCGATACCACGCGAAAACCGTGTCGCGTGTAATCGGCCGCGCGTCAGCGTCCACGTAACAACGTCCATTCTATTAATCAGCGCCGATAGCTCGGTCCTGACCAGACCAAATCGTGGATCGTGTATCGCGCTTGCACGCCTTCTTCCTTCTCTCGTCCACGATCTTTGTTCCACGAGCTACGATTTTTCATCCAACGTCCAACTGCACTGTGCGTGAATCACTGTACCGTTAACGGCCTCGATAACGATTACGAACGCGGCGATTAATCGTTCGAATCGATGTGCCACTCTCGCGCGTGCCTTAATCGCAAATCGAACGGGGAAAACAACGATCGCTTTTAACGACTGAGCATTTCGACCGATCTAAACGCTCTTTCCAGATATTTTTCGCGGATTACGTGCCCGTTACCGGCGTGGGTCGCCATGACGAAATGTCGGAATAGCTGCTACTCGGATAAATGGCGGAAAGCCATTGGTGAAAATGGTTTAAACCTTTGTCTCCGGGATATCGGATCGAAAACGTTCGGGGGTTAAAAAAAAATACGGAGGGAAAGCATCACTTGGAGCGAGTCGCGTAAAATGGAACAATGACCGTTGAAAGGAAATAGAGAGAAAGGAAGAGAAAGGGGGAAGAAACGGCGCGTACCTGTGTGGCGCGCGTTTGTACGTGTGCTCGCGGGCGCGTTCAAAGCTGGTCCCGCATACTCGCATTCTCGAATTTGAATATAATTCAAAACGCGGCAAAACGATGACATACCGAAGCGACACTCGAGCGACATGCTAATATTCGTTACCTTTTTCTTAATAATATAGAGACAGATTAATAATATTTTCCAAATTCTTATTTACGCGAAAGTGGATGCAACGAAATGGTAGTTTAGCTACGAAAAAGAATGGCTCGACATTTTATTTTTCGACGATTAGGACAATTCGAGTCTACCTGTAAAAATTGTTCATCACGATAGATATACGGAAGAAAATAACAGAAAAATTTCCGTTTTTCTTAAAATCCCGTGAAATCAAAGTTAAACCCTGCTAAAATGTTTTCCGTTGTTGTCTGAATAGTTATTCGCGTACCCCTTATATACATCGGATATTTACTTTTCAAATTTGGCTTTTCGCAGTTTAAATATCGCGATAATTTAAATTTTCTTTTACCTTCGAAAATATGCGGGAAGAAATTAAACAAATTCTCCTGTACCATTGATTTTCGAAATTAAATAAAAATCGTAGGAATACTCGGCCACTCAGTGATCCACGAAAGGGTGAATTTACAATCGTGTAATTTGTTACCCTGAAAGCCACACGGGTCGTGGTATCATTTTGTCTCGCCACTCTATCACTTCGATCCTCTCGAAAGTTTGCGATCGCGCGTGGATACGCGATCTCTCTCTTTTCTCTCGTAAACTATCGATAGACGTAACGATTTCCTCGTGGATTTGCCGCGTGCTGGCAAAATGAAAAATGGCATTTCGAAGGAAAGGCGAGTCACGTGAAATTTCTAACGCGGCGTGGTGCGGTCAGGCGAATGCAAAACAGGTTGTACTTGAACAAGAAAAAGACGCGTACTTTCACCGCGAGTGCTTACGTAATCGCCGGTTGTCGCGAAACATAGGGGTCCGTTCGCGCTTTTATCTGCAGCACGCCGATAGCGAATTTAACGTCGCGACGCGGCTGGAACCGGGCTCGGGACGGAGGAATTCCAGCGACCATCGGTCCCGTTACGACGGTTTGGGCATATTCTTTCGATCCCGGTGTCTCTCGGCTCGAAAAACAACCTGGAGCTGGAATTCGAGCGATGATGAAACCACGGAAAGAGGGTAGGGCAGAGGTGGAGAGAGGAGAGAGGGGAGGAGAGGCTGTTTATCGAAACGTGGTCGGGGCAGGAATGCCGACGCCTCGGCGTAAAGTTTCCAGTCGCGTGTGGGCCTTTAACGATCGCGATCCAGGAAAATCCGCTCCGCTGCCCTCCTCTCGATCCGCGCCAAACGTTTCCGACGTAACCAACTGTTGGAGCTTTCGAATGTTATCGATTCCCTAGCAGCGGAACCTGGTCTCGCGACCGTTTCACGAGGTTCGCCATGTCCGAGCTGCTGCTTTCCTTCGGAAGGCCCCGATGGGACCCTGTCCGCAGCTTTGGCATGCATGTGGGATGCATGTTCGTAGGCGAGGATCTTCATCCTATCTATTTCGGATCCTCTGGAATTCCTCTAAAGCGTGTTTCCTCGCTAAAAGGGACGAGCCAGCAGCCTAACCTGGCGTCTATAGAAAGGATATCGAGCCTCTCTCGAAAGGCAAACGTTTACTTGCACGTATGAAATCCACGCGATCGTGAGAGCGAGCATATAAGTCGACTCGTGATTCGTAGCCAGGGCATGCTCGGTTATATGCTCGTTATACCGAGTACATATATATATATATATATATACACACACGGGAGAAAAAGGTTCGCGAAGTATACATGTACGTACTTACAAAAGGGTATAGCGAAAGAAACAGAGAGAGAGAGAGAGAGAGATAGTAAGGGAAAGGGAGAAAAGGAGAAAAGGAGAGAAAAAAAGGGAGGAAAGGAAAGAGAGAGAGAGAGCGAGAGAGAGTAAGGAATAGGCAGGATGGAAAGGCAAGAGGCGCTAGTTTGTCGGAGGAAGCGAACAAGTTGGTGACCATATGAACGATGGGCCTGCTTAGGTCGCCTCGGCGAGCAGCTCGGTGTGCGCCAGTCCCACGGGGTCCGGGGTACTGGAGACTCCGCTGTCCGTGAAGAGTGCCGGCGCCAGCCCACCGCAGTCCAGCGGCAAACACCTGCACATTAACCTGGGCAATCAGTTCAGGGCGGGTGGCTCTCTGCCGAATGTTAACAACAACGCGAATTGCGGCAATGACGCGAAAGAACACGCATCGCCGCACAACGCCGCTATCCACTCGATCGACCTTAAGGTATTGGTCATCTAACAGCCGTGTCAGCCTAGTTTTTCCAACTTCAAACCCTGTATTTTTTTACCTTTTTTTTCTCTCTTTCCATGTATGTATAGACATATATATATACACACACATGCTGCACCCATTTTGACTTTTGGTTTTCTCTCACCCGACCCCCCCGATCATCGTACCCCCGCGATCGAGACGCAGTCCTTTCTGGAGGTAGACGACCGCGACAGATCTCTCTGTATATTCTTTTCTTTTTTTTTCTTTTTCCTTTTTCTTTCTTTTTCCGTGCCCCAAACGAGACTGCCAGAGTCGACCAGAGACACCTAACCCGTGTGTGCGCGTACGCCGTATGCTGCCTCGCGGATGCGCGGTAACTTGCACGGTATTGAAATTACATCGGTGTTGGTTCGATCAATTACACGGACATTATGGGGGATCTCTACTTGTTGCGAGTCCGCGTTCGAAGCGTGACTCATGACTGGAGCAACGTACGGGCGATCGCGTGCCTCCTTTCATTAAACCGACTATTTCCAGTCGCCGCTTAAAAATAGACGTTTCAAGATTTTTCTCCGTAGCCGGGACGCGTTGTTGCACGGTTCCACTCGTTTCTTACCGATTTCGCCGACTCTCGCCGCCCGGCGTGCACGCGCGCGCGAGTACGCGAGTCCGCAGCGCGCTAACTTTCCATTGCCCCCCGTCCGAACGGAGAATTACGAAGCAACGCGAGATATCGCGAGATATCGCGGAATATCGCGAAATCGATGGCGAAACGTTGGCGGTAACCTCGACCGGCTGCGGAGTCCGCTGGCTCGCCAGCTGCTCGCGGAACCGAGGGCTTCCGTTAAGCGACACCACGTGCACCACGTCCGCGACACGCGGGTCAATCGAATCTCTCTCCCTCGGCAATTCGATCTACCTCTCCTCTTCTTTCTCTCGTTTCTTTCTCTCTTTTTTTACACACCATGTTTCTGCACGATAACGCATGAGAACGTTTGTTTAACAGTAGTTGAATAGTGACTGCTATATACTTATTGTCAACGGCGAGAGGAGCGGTGACGGTATAGTTGACCACGTTCGCGGCAACTTTTCGACGGAACGTCGAAGCACCGGTACACCGGTCGATACGTCGATATGCCACATTTCCAGCTGCACTCGCCGTTTTTCCTCGGTTCCGCGTTGGAACGCGCAAACGGCGAGCTACGCGGTTCCGACGTCGCAGAACGGCGCGGGATTCGGGTCGAAGTTCGATCGCTCGAATCGCCGATAAAATCGATCCGATCATGCTCGTTTCGACATTCCAGGGAATTTCCGTCGAGCTCTGTCCCGGTCTATCCGCCATCTATCGCCGATCGCTCGATCGCGGTCAACGGTGGATCAGCGTTGAAAATTCTCGCGCGAAATTTTCCGCTCGCCGCGTCTTCCCCTGCAACGATCGCGCACTTTTCTGCGGAAACGATATAAATAATTGCATGAACGCCTCGCGTTACAACCTTGGAATATTTTTAAGCAACACCGCAACCAATAGCAAACGATTCGTCCGGAGGATCGTTCGATCATTCGTCTCCGGTCGCGGCGATCTCGCCGATTTCGGGATTTAGTGGGTAGTTTGGTCCGCTTTTTCCACGGAAATTCCATCGATTACTCGCAAGTTTGAACTCGTGGTCGCTGATCGAACGATTTTTCCCGCGGCACACGGTCGTTGGTTGGAAACGAGGCTGAATCGCGCGACAGCTTCCGAACGATGATATTGCGTAACGGCCATCATGTCGGCGGAGTCATTATAAAATTATGTGGAACTTTAAGGATACCACTTAATGGCAGCGTGCTGGATTTTGCGTATCATTTTACTGCCTTGGAAGCGGCTATTCGGTGTACCGCGCAAACATACAATTACGCCGTATTCGAAGACATTCGCGAATTAGATTGTCATGCAAATTATAGTATCAATGAGCCGCAAATCGCGCTTCGTTCGATCATTACGTAACGCTGTTACGTTCAGGATACGCGTTATTATCGTTTTTCCAAATATATTATTTTTGCGCTCGGGCACAACATATATCTCGGATATACCGAGTTACCGGTTCCACGAACCACGCGTGTTCGCTTGGCCGATTTTTATACGCATTTGCCGCTTTTCTTTTCCCTTCTTTCTCCTCTTGCACACTCGCGTCGAAGCACGCTTTATCCGAACAGTCGACGTACACGCAGCTTTCCGTTTAAGCTTAAACTTAGACTATAGCTTTGTCCGTCCTTTCCGAACCAGCGAAACGTACGCTCTTCTTGCGAATAAACCAACGTCGGTAGGTGTTTTATTTATTTATTTATTTATTTATTTATTTATTTGTTTGTTTGTCGTTTTTTCTTTTTTTCTTTTCTCGTTATCCTTCGTTCACCATTGATCGCAATTCCGTACTCGGTAACCGTCTTGCAGCTTGTTTCATTTTGCTCGCCGTTGAACGCGGGAAAAATATCGTTCCATCGTAAATAACCATCTTTCCATGCCCTTAGATCATGAACCATATCTGAAAGCAAAGGGCACCCGTTGAGTTCCAACGCTACAGCACTGCCACGGTTACTTGGCTAATTGTCTGCACGCTTCGCCCCGCTTTTGCGTGCCCGTGCCGTTAGGAGCATAAAGATTTATCGCATTCGAGTTAGCTAGGAAGCACGATGATCGTTACCAAGCCGTAAGAAACGAAAAACCTGCCTCGTGTAACTCGGATTGATCCGAGTACGTAATTGTCTCTGGATACGCGCTCTACTTTCACCCGAGTTAACGACTTATCGAGCACTATCGCGAAGGAAAGTAAAGGATACTATGTGTACTTACGTCTGGTGCAGAGCTTTGTATGCACTTGGCGAGGTTGTATATCTTGTCGCAATTGTCAGAACCGTCTGTGAGATCGAACCATAGCGGATATTAGAAAGTCTCAATTTCGACATTCGGCTTGAAAATTTCCCACTCGAAATTCCAAATCGAGGACGCTTTCCTTTTCCCGCGGCAAATCGACTTTAACGAATCTCGCACGTGCCCCGAAGTATTTTCCCAAAACTCGAACCTTGATATTCCGACCATCACGAAAATGAAAATTTCCATAGTCACTCGCACGATTTGCCGTTTCGGTTCGTCCGAAAATTTCCTCGATTTGAAATTAAAAATGAAAAATGAAAAATTTTCAATTTTCAATTTAACGTGACGAAAGACATACGGGTCGGGAGACACGTTTTCAAAATGGAATTCGCCAGCTCCTGAAAATTGTCCGGGAGCACTCCCATGAGCATGTCCTCGTCCAGGTTACCTTCGTCGTCGACCTAAACGAAAGGATTTCTCGATTAGTTGCATCTACTTTGAGCAGTGGTTGCTTCGACTTACCAGGCTGAACGCTTCCAGCAGGCAATACATGTAGCAAGTAATCGACGGATCGTTTGGTATTGTCCCCTTTTCCACGTCGTTGATTTGCTCTACAAATGGATGGACCGTGGTGAGTTCGCTGATCGTAAAAATGTTTGATTCGGACATTTGAATCGCGATATCGATACCAACCTTGGGTCGTGCCGTGCTCGCTCATGCATCGTATCTTGTCCTCCTTCGCCATGTCCAGTATCTCAGGGGGCATCCAGTCGGGCTACGAGCAAACGAAATCGAAATCAAAACTGGACGATCTCGATATGTTCGTCGAATTCTCCATAATCGGCCAGTTACTTCACCCATTTTCGTCCATACTGTCCACGCCTCAACTTAATCCCTCTCTCCTCAATATCCCCTTTGAGATCGCTCTGCTGTTATCACGGGCTACGCGAATAGCTGACGGAATTAATAATTCAACGGATTCTATGGTAGAACGTGTAAAACGACACGGAATCGGTGATAGATAATTGGGAGGCTATTAGAAAGACTGAACCAGTCGATCCAAGTTCGAAATAAGATCGACCGAATCGCGGGATGTTATTTCTTCGCTTGCTCTCGCGTCGTTTGCCTAACGATACGCATTTCCTCGAGGTAAATTTTAGTCGAACCAGTTTCCCGGTGTTTGGTCACGTCTCGTGGCGTGTAAACACCCGTGAGAGGGGAGACGTGGGACCGAAACGGAAATAAAAACGCGAAAAGGAAGGAAGGGAAATAAAAGAGTCGACGCGATTAATCCGAAGAGAAATTTTGCACGCTTCGATTCGGCTTCCCCTCTAATCTCGAGTCCACTTGTCCCGGAATCCAATCGGTATTATTTCCGCGCGTTCACTTTTCGATATCTCCGATAAATCTCAGATGAATCTCGGATAAATCTCCGGCAAAGTGTCGAAAAAATCTCACAAACGCCGTCCCGCTCGACTGCAACCGCGAACTTCCGGTTGCACGCGCAGCGGCTTCCGTCCTGTGGGTAACAGTGAGCCCATCGTTGAAAGCTTACCACGGCGTGCACGAGCACCGTCTGCAAGCACACGAGGGCGAGGTAGAGCGACGCTTGTTTGGTATCCATGATGCACTCTCTGATGCACGTTACGATTCTGCTTGTAAAGTTGCACGCGCTTTTACGAGTACGATATGTCGCGAGTTACCGGTCACCACGTTTTTATAACGAGCTTGTTCACGGACACACGGGATGTGGGCGTGTGTGAGGGGAGGATTAGCAAGCGGCTACCTGATTGAAGTCCTTTGCCGTTCGGTTGTTGGCTGAGACACGGCTAATTTTCGGCCGCGTACCGGAAGTGCGCTTTGAATTGCGTGTGGCAGTCGCGACCGTGACCCTGAGCGCATCCTGTGTCCAGTTCTCCTCTCGTCCGAATCAGCTTTGCGATCGAAACGGGACAAATCGAAGAGGAAAGGTACCGGATAAAGGACTGTTGATCAGCCTGTCGGGATAGATGGGTGATCGGTGGAGCGATTATCTCTAAACACCGGCACACTCGTCGTCGAGCCCTGTACTAGGTCTGTACAACCTGTAGGTACTAGCAGATCCGTCGCGATTGCTGAAATTACCACGTCCGCCATGTTTCCCCTAATCACTCGTTTCTCGACATTCCAATTTTTCCTGATTAAATTCTAAAACCGTTTATTAGAACTGGAAGCTGATTGCGTCGAATTACGAGACCGCTTACGCAATACGAAAACAACGATCTCGGCCAGGTCGTCGGTTAAATCCGTCCCGCGATCGTTGGCTAATTCGATGGCGCCACGATCGCGCCACCCTCGGATTTAATTATCCTTCCGATCGCGTCCCGGGGACCGATCTTCCTCCTCTCGTCCCGTCTCTTTCATCGATTTCACGGTTCACCGATGGTCCCCGAAGCTCGGGCAAATTCGCCGGGTGACACGAGCAGTGGGAAAATTTCCGTTCCAAGGTTGCCCTCGCGGCCGAAAATCTTGTTTACCGGCTTTCGTAAACCATCGTCGTGTAATTTGCCACCGAATCGCGATCGACCGCCGTTCCCCGTGTATGCTAGGGCTTACGACATATCACTTATTCAGTGAACTAGCAAGGTCCGTTGGTGTAAGTTTGCTGAAAAGCGGAACAGTATCGACATAGACGGCCACGAAACGATCGCGCGTTATCCTCGCGTACCGTTAGGCTAGACTATACAAAGTCGGAGAACTCGTTAAGGGTGGGTGGCCATCGGGAGCGATTCGATTGGTCGAGGTACCAGAGCGTGTGTATGTCCCGATCGCGATCTCGGCCGGGATTAAAGGAGAAAAATAGTCGGTCGAACCAGACGGGAAGTTACGTAAACGTTCGATTATGTGAGCGCAGAAAAATTCGTCGTCCGGGGCAGCGGTTGATCAAGAGGTAGCAATCGCGGGTATAATTTGCTATATGGTATCGCGCATGATGTTTCCTTCGTCGAGGGGAAGCCGCTATTTGCAAGTTTAACGAAATTACACGTAACGAAGCCCGAGCATCCTCTGCCACGTATATATGCGCGTATTAGTCGGTTTAGCAGAGGGTGGAGCGTGCGTTCTCGCGTCGATGGATCCTCCGGCCACGATAATTGCATTTTTCATTTATCCCCGCGAACGGAGCCGAGCGGAGAAGAAAAAGAGACGGGAAGAGGCAAAGAGGGATGATCGGGTCGCGTGTTATCGAACGTTGTAGCCACCCCCTCTGCAGACTCGTTTGGTCGGGACGGGCAAAAGGGTAGTCGACCATCCGTTTTTATCGGTGATCCGCTGTCCAATTAAATTTCGAGCCAGATCGCGCTCGGGAACGTGGCCGGTGTAACGTCCAGGTGGAATCGATAGGCCACGCAGTCTCTTGGTCGTTTCTTGCCGCGTCGTTCGCGGAAACGAACGGGGAAAGATAGAAAAATAAATGGACTCGTTGACCATTGCGATTTCGCGCGACACGGATCGATCACCTTTCACCTGCCGAATTCGATTGCGCGGTTCCGGTGAAAGCGAGGAGGTTACTTTGCCCTCGCGGGCAGCGCGAAAGCCTGTTACTTAAAATATCTATCGCCGAATCTAACCGTCTTTTTTCCTCTTTTCCCTCTGGCGTGGAGCGTGGAGGGGTCTAAAAATATTTTCCAACTCGTGCACGCGAGTGGAGTCACGGTCGACGCGCGAGATCTCGTTTAGGAACAAAAGAGGAGGATGGACGCGGGTAACGACGGCTGGCGCTGGGCCGGTTGTCAGCAGAGCGGAGAAAAGGAGCGGAGCGGAAAGGCGAGTGAGCCCGGGCGCGCATCGGTCTCGTCCGAGCCAAGGTCGGCTTTCGATCGCGCAAAGAAATGCACCCCGGGGGATATCGGGGTCAAGAGAGCACTCGGTTTCTTAGCACCAGTCGATTCTAGGCCGGTGGTGCCAAACGTCCGCCCCGTCGTCCGCGGCCGGCTCGATTACAGCCGAATGTTCGTCGAACCTTCCTCCTTTCCTCCCGGAATCGATCGAATTTCGCCGGATTTCTGCTGGCCGCGCACGTGCAGTGGCCCACCTGCCGCGCGCCCGAGTTTACGTTGCCGTGCAAACTCGGCTTAACCTCTTGGACCCGAGCTAGAGTGCTGCCGAACATTGATACCGTTGCTCCAGATACAACTCTGCTCGCTTTCCTCTCTCTCTCTCTCTCTCTCTCTCTCTCTCTCTCTCTCTCTCTCTTTCCCCCTTACTCCTGTTCTTTCGCCCCGTTGAATAACCCGTTCTTTTTCCAACGCTGAGAAAGCTATTCAGAGTTTCGTTCCTTGATTTACTCGATAGAGGCGAGCATTAATTCCGCTGCGGAAAGTAGTTTTAGAGGAGTGCGGGTTTTAGGGAAAAAGGAGGGATCGATACGTCACGCGGAGAAAGACGCTTCGAGCGAAAACTCGGACGATTTTCGCCACCCGATGCATGTACGTGACATTTCGGTTATTTTAACCCTGGTATAATTATGATTAGCCCGTCGCGCGAATAATGCCTCGTGTCCATTATCCGGTCGGCTAACTGGCTAACCGAACAGTTTCATGCTAAACAGCTAATTTGCCGCGTTAATTTATGCCTGACGATTAAATGGTTCGAATACCGGCGGGACAGGGTCGATGCTTGTTCCACGCTGGCCTTTCGACCATCTCGCTGTCGGCCATTCTTCGCCGGAATAATCCCGCCATACCTTTATCCCAATTTATTCCAATGCCATTCTTCGGCCAACCGACTCTGGCGTGCTTCGATAAGCCGCAACGAGAGCAAGCTTTCCGCGATGCCGTACTTTGCGTCGTGCTTTCCATCCTACTTTCCATCCTACTTTTCATCCTACTCGACTCGAAAAGTCTTTCCTTCCGCAACGCTTCGCCGTCTGATAGGAGAGGTCTGTCGAGAGGACTCGAAGACGGTACGCGGGTTCGTGGTGCGAGCTGCAGAGGTAAGGAACAAAACAAACGGGAACACGTGCTCCGGCCAGAGTGTACTCTCCTATACGGAGTATTGATCGCGTTCTGCAGGTACTCGTTTGTCTGTTTCGTTAGCGGCACGTCGATGGCTACTGCCGCCGTGACTGCAGCTGCAGCTGCAACTGCGCCCAGTTCCGCTAACCCAGGCAGCCAGCGCCTGGCCTCGCGGTCTTCTCGACTAGTCTCCTTCTTCTTCTCCATCCGGATCCACCGTCCGATCCACAATGACGACGACACGGACGACGACCCTTCAAGTCTGATCTGTTCTTCCTTCCCGGAAGAATCACCTTTGTCGAACACCCTGGTCGAGTATTTTCGCCGGAAATTCGAGTCCGCGAAGCGATTTAACCTGGTCGAAATTATCGCGTTTATCCGTTTACGTAATCCTTACCGATCGGACACCCGACGAATCCACGTGCCACTGTTTGTCCCTTCGCCTGTCTCTGCCAGACGGTCTCGTAAGTCGACGGCGCGACTGAAATTGACTAGTCGTTATTTATTCTACAGGTGGCCGTGCACGAAGGTTTCGGTCGCGCCGGTACGTAAGTGCGTGGAAATATTTCGAGGTTGGAATCGAGCGAGCGACCGGCACGCGAGCGTTCTTACGACTCAGCTCGCGTCTCCGGATTCGCCGGAAGGGTCGCGCCGGAAACGTCCAAGCCACCCGCTCCTCGTCTCGGGCTGACGGAAAATAACGATTTCCCGATTAGAATTTCGCTCCTGGGCTGCAACGGCTCTCCCATTCTACCGGAGAATCTTCCGTTTCCGTCCCTCTATATATCATTAATCGCGGAAATTGATCCTCGCCCGGTGCCTCGATCGAAATCCCCTCGTATAACGTCGTTTCTTCGCCTATACCGTCTTCTATATCTCCCACTGCTGATGCGGTTATAATAACGCCACTCGCTTCCATTGGCTTTCCATCTCTCGAGATTGCCAAAGAAGTAACCTTCCGCGATCTACGCGCGGACTTACCGCTGTATAATTGCATTTTTCCGATACATAACTCAAGCCGTATCAAGCCTACGTCCTCCCTCGTTGTCTCCTCTCTTTTCCCGCCTTATCCCGTTCTTCCGGCCGATATTCGGTCACTAGGAGCGGCTCAAAGGGACCTCGAGACGATGGAAATTCAGCCGATATTTGCGTTTGATTTATCTGCCATTTCCGAGGATGATTATATCCGGCGCCCCGTAGTCTCCACGGACGAGACTCCTCCCTCGGCGACTTTCATATTCCTCCATGCCTCTTCGAATCTCTGGATTGCTGGCCCTTTGACGATCGGCTTCAAAGTCGGCGAAGAATCCAACGATCCACGATCGATTCCGCGATTTCGCGTCGGAACGTCCAGGGTACCTCGCAGTTTCGTAGCCGATCGCTGAGAGATCGTGATTCGATGGATCTCTCAGACGCGAATGCACTCCAGGATTGTTAATCGAGGTCCGCAAGTCTGCTCGGTTTTATTCGTCTCTCTCCACGGGACCGCTTATGTCAAAGATGTCGCGCAGAATGAGGGTTCAAAGGGAAGGCAACCGCGACTCGAGCGCGTGGTATCCGATAACGAAGAGAGAGCCGGACACGTGGGCGTCGGTCCCGCATCCACTCCTTTCCTAGGGAGCAATTGCTA